ATCTTAAAGAAGGAAAAAAAGAAAAAAGAAAGATTTGCAGTTCCTCCTTAAGAAGTCTGAAAAGGTTGTTTGTGGGATCTTTAGAAGCAGATGGTTGTTTGGTTTGTTCTGCATTCCCTGATACCACTTGTTTTTCAAAAGCCTGGATCAGACTCTGTGTAGTCCCAGTCAGTTGGCCCTGTATGGCTGCCCGAGGTAGGCCTAGTGCTAAGGCTTTGCTCTGCGGTTCATTATGCCTTTTCTGGTGGTCTGCTAACTCACCAGGGGGTTTATGAGATCGAGGAAAGTGTCGGGGGGTTCTGGGGAGCCTATCTTACTTGCCAGATTTGTCTGCTGCCTGCATCAGCTCAGGATCACCCTGCTGGTGTCAGTTCATCCCACCCCGTTTCTTGACTGTGACTTACAGTGCCATGCATCAAGTCTGTCCAGGTTGGAATAGGCTGGAGGTGGGGTTGGCCATCCTGATCCTCCTGAGTGTTGTGTTCCATGTTTTGTCTTACTTCATCCCTTTTTGCAATGAGGTATGATTTTAAAACAACCCGGACTCCCCTTATTAGTGGTCTCATGGCTTTGGGGTCCTTGGGGGCAGAGGTGGGGTAATCACCATGTGCAGTTCATAGCCTGAAGGCAGGCTGCTTTTGTAACAGCAGTAAAAAGTTCATTTAACAATCTTACTGGAATAGCAGCAGGCTCCCCTTTATCCTGAGGGTCTGTGCCTCCTGCCCAGTCACTAGTCGGTGGGCAGTAGGGTGTGTTGTCATCAGTTAGGGGATGGTCCCTCGTTCAAGATCTCTGTCCCCAAAAGCCATCCTGATCTAACATAATATGATCTCCTCCAGTTTAGGAGACATGCCAGAGACACTCAGTCTTGCTTTTACCAGGCTTCTGTCCATATTTTTTGTGCAGAATGGCCTGTTGAAGGGGGTCCCATGGAGTGGTCTTCATAGTATTTCTCCAGTTGCCCCCTTGAGGTCCAGTGCATACCTCAGTTTTTAATAATAGGGGCTACTTAAATTCTGATTCATCCAATTCACTCTTATGGCTAAGTTCCTCATTGGGGTCCTCCCAAATATCTCCATCCCAGTCTTCTGGGGAAATGATTAGCTTACCAATTTTTACAGGATCAGGGAGGGGGTTTGGGGCCCAAATTATTGTGAGTTCTAGTTTATCCTCTACTTTCCTGCGTTCTTCTCTTTCCTCTCCCAGTCGTTGAAGCAGTTGGTCTGTTCACAGAGGCAGCAGCATTCCTTGTCACTTTCTTTGTTCAACCTTATCTAGTAACATTCTCATTTCTTGTTCTGCAGATTCCTTATACTGGTATGCAGCCTCTAAATACCTCTTCAACTTTTTATGTATTATTATTACCTTCTCTTTACCATCTTTCAGTTTCCCTCTTACAGAGTTCAACTGTTCTTTTATCTTATTCCGACTGTCCTGCTTTTCACACACCCAGTCATCTGAAAATTTCAGTGATGGGTTAACTCTGCCTCTGTAAGTAGTCAGTGATTTAATCTGCCATCCTGCCGTCTATGCCAATTTTTGTTGCAGGGGAACTGTTAAGAAAAGTCATCATTTTGGGGTTAACTAAAAGGTTTTATTAATGATTAAATGATCAAATGTTAATTAATTGATTATTGGTAATCAGTTTGTAATTAAGCAATAGTTGAATAGTAATTAAGTGGTTTAATGATTTAATAATTAATCAATAATTAGCAGTGAAACACTCTACTACTTACTACACTTACAATGATTAAGCTATAGCTTGATATATATACACGTCACTAGCATGCAATATACTTTTAGGCTTAATGTAAAATGTCACTTACCTTGCTGTAGGCTCAGGTGCTGGGTAAGGGGTGTCACAATCCTGAGGGGGTACCATGAGGGCTGTCGCTTGCCTGCTCAAGGGGAGATCTCCTCTGCAGCCTGATGCTGTGCAGGAGAACTCAATGGGCTCAGAGGGGCTGCAGATATTTATAGCATAAAGAGACTGAGTCATAGTCAAACTCCCTCTTTGTTGTACGTGCAGGTGTGTAGCTGTAGCAGTTTTAGTTTTGTCTAGTCCCAGCTCAGGCTGGTACACTTAGCTCCTGATAAACTGTGGCCTAGACTCCCTAGTTCCTCAGAAGATAAGGCCTAGCATGGTTCCAACAGTTTGCACAGCAGGGATATCTCAGTCAGGCCTTCCTTGTAAGTAATGTCCTCATCAAAGTACTGCTCACTCAGTCAGAGCTGGGCTGTCAGTCACAATAGGTTGTTCCTTCACTGTTTTTTCCAACAACCATGGTTCTTTGTATCCTACCTGAGAAGAAATACTCAGAAAAATTCTCACTCACACCGCAGTGATTTTATCAAACCTTATTTTTTTGATTACAAACTTACTAAGAAATAATAAATCTTTTGAACGTCCTTTGCCCTCAAGAATAAAAGTTTCAGAATTCACACTCTTCTATGGCTCTTTATAAAGAAGAATGTTAGATTTCAGGTAGGATATCTGTACAGTAGAGGAAAGAACATGGATCTAAATAACTGAACTATTGTTTTTTTAAAATGCATTTAGTTAGTCATCCATTAGCAACAAATATTTTATTCTTTGTAAAAGGCTAGTGAGTGAAATCAGGTTTATCATGCTACTTTTGTAATTGTTTAGAAGAGATGACAGCATGGACAGAAGAAGAATGCAGAAGCTTTGAACATGCACTTCTGATTTATGGAAAAGACTTTCATCTTATACAGAAAAACAAGGTTAGTATTTTACAGTTAAATGGAAGAATTAGTACATGATATGATGCTGAAAATTTGTAAAACATTTCTCCGAAGCCATGCAGAAGAGTGAAATAAGAACCAACATACTAAAACGAACGTGGCATTTTTTTGCTAATTTTTCCTCAGATGTCATTGGAAAAGCTAGGCATTGCAAGATGAGTCAGCGTATTATCTCTGAAATCAACTTATGTTGACATTACTTCCATTACACATTTATGTTATAATTTAGTTTAAATGTATGCCTCTCCTAGAAGTACACTGTTTCCATACCATGGCTGTGGGAGGGGAAAGTGCAACTTACTTTTGTCACTAGGAAGGTATAATTTTACAGCAACAGGCTTAGCTTTTTTGTGTTTTCAGAAGGTGTAATCATCCATCGGTATTCTGTTTTCTGGCTAGCAAGGCTTCCGAATGGCTCCTCTGTGCCTGTAGAATATGGATTTATTTTTTTTTTTGGTGGTCAAAAAACAATAAGACTATATGGATTTTTTTGAATTTTCTGTATATCTTTATGCTTTGATACCACCTTGAAGGTTTTCTTTTGTTTAGGAGTCTGGTGGTTTTGTTGTATTTCAGGTAAACTTTATAGAGTTGTGGTAGCTGTTTAACAGCAGTCAGCTAGTCGTGCTCAGTACCTGGTTTAACCTGTCCTAAATAATATTTGAGTGGTTCATATTTTAAGTGGACCTTACCAATAAACAGTAATTCATCAGAGGTGCAAAGAAATAAATTTAAAGTATTTTTTCCAATGTGCAGGAAAGTGCACGTGTTGATGTGTCTGTCACTATGGGCCAGAATTTATCGAAGAAATCTGCTGGGTTTTTTTCTAAGTAGATAAAATGCCAGAAAGTTTAGGGGAAGTTTTGGGACCCAGCATAAGCTGGTGTCACTTGTATGTGAATTGTATCATCTAGACAAGGTTTTGTCCTTGGAGAAATTAAACAAGAGATGTTTCCTTATCACTGTACGGCAGAGCATTGTAAACTGGGACTTCATGTCTAGCATATGGACACGGGTTCATTTCCTACCCTGCCTGGTACGTCTCTAAACAAGCAAGGCTTACTGCTACACCCAAGGCATTTTGTATTTTGCCTCTGATGTTTCTGTAAGTTTGATTAAGCTCAGGCACAGTTTATCACCAGACTATATCTGGATAGAATGTATATTCTAGTTGTAAAACTTAAACTGGAACTGATGATGAAGTGTCTAAAAACGGATATAGTTTGTGAGAATATAGGTGGAAGCAATGACTTTTTCTCCAAGAACCTGACTTCACATAACAACCTCCATTTTGGGGAAAGAGATGAACAGTTAACCTTCTCAACAAGACTACAATTTTATTTTGTTATTGGAAGAATTTACTGTTGTGATTATCTGTTGTCAAAGCCTCCACAGTTTTGGTGTTCTCCACAGTTTCCCAAAAGGAATAAGTACCCAAAGTGTTTCCTGCTTCACTTCTCCTTAGGGCATTGATTTGCTCAGCTTTTTCTATCTTAAGAGAAACTATCTTATAGTTTTAAAAAGTCATTATATTATATACATGCTTCAGTTGTAGATACAGTTTCAAACTAGTTTTAAAAAAGCCAGTAATGGATACAGAAGAACAAATGTAACACTAGCTTGAAAGTGTAGATGTCTTTGAAGTCTCCTAGTTGAATTGATTTGTAATAGATACTAGAGTAGTAAAAGTAACAATATTGCAGGAATGGGAATTGGGGAGATGACAAAACAAAGCCTTTGCATTAATCCTGTCAATTCTTCTTGCCTTCTTTTAGGTAAGAACCAGAACAGTTGCTGAGTGTGTGGCTTTCTATTACATGTGGAAAAAGTCAGAACGTTATGATTACTTTGCTCAGCAAACAAGATTTGGAAAGAAGAGATATAACCATCATCCAGGAGTTACGTAAGTAAAACATTCTTGGAATACGTTTTCTGTTGCAAATTGTAGAAGGCTTTTTTTTTTTTTTAATATTCTGTAATTGCAGTGTAATGCTGCATGGCTATGGCAACTGAAATTAAATCCATCATGATATTTAGGCCTTGTTTTCCAGTTAAATAATACATTATGGATGCACTATTCTTTTAGGGACTACATGGATCGTTTGGTAGATGAAGCAGAAGCCCTTGGTGGAGCAGTGCATTCTTCAGCCTTATCATCTAACAGTCGAACAGAAACCATTCCTGATCAACAGCTAAGCATTCTGAACTCCATCACTGCCAATGAGCTGACAGGTAAATCAAGAAAAAAAACAGTATCTTTTTGTCGTAACTATGCAAACAACTATTTCATTTGCATTTGTGTTCATCCTTTTTTCCAGCGTTGACAAATAGTGTAGCTACGGTCTGCCACACTTCAGACGTGAACTGCCTGGATGACACCTTTCCTCCTATGGACAGCTTACCCCGAGCACCAGTTAATCATGTGCCTGTTGGAACAGAAGAATTGCTTAACTTGCCTAGCAATGGTGAAAGTGATTGTTTTAATTTATTTGAGACTGGCTTTTATCATTCAGAGCTAAACCCAATGAACATGTGCAGTGAGGAGACAGAAAGACCTGCAAAGAGATTGAAAATGGGAATTGCTGTTCCAGAATCTTTCATGAATGATGTCTCTGTCAATAACCTTGGTGTGGACTTCGAGAACCACACACACCATATTACCAGTGCCAAAATGGCTGTTTCAGTGGCTGACTTCAGCAGTCTGTCTGCAAATGAGACAAATGGTTTTATCAATACCCACACTCTTCACCAACATGCTGCCCTTCACTCAGAATGACTGTGGAAAACTAAAACAGTGGGTACTTTATGCAGTAGTAGTAGTAAACTTGATGGGAGCTATCAGGTTTGCTTAGTCTTTCACTGGAAGTTTGAACTTTATGACATCAGTGATGTCTTTGTATGTATAGAACTATATCTTGATTTATCAAGAGTAATTTCTTTTTTCAGTCCATAAATGTGGAAATGTCATAGGATGTCTGGCAGAGTTTGGGACTAAGAGAACTCTGCGGTGCAGCTTTAAGCTCTGCTTCAGTTTTTTTTTTAAAGCCTGTAGACGGAGGCCACCATTTCAAAACCAGCACAGAAGTTCTGAACGGATTGGAGTGGCTTTTTAGTCTTAAGTTACTTTTGCCGTAACGGATGCAGTGGAATAACAATGTTTACAGGTACCGATCCTGATCCCTGCTCAATGTAGCATTTTTTTTTTCCTCTTATAAAGGCAGGGATGGGTTTCTTTAATTTAAACTGCACAAACATACAAGGATGTTTTTTAAATGGAACCTTCTCTCATGTGATACTAAACTAGAGCACTTCAGTTTACAAAACAGCAAGTCCATCTTGGTGGAAGCTAGCACAAGGGACTTAACGTGAGCAAAGTGTGAAGACCTACACTTCGATGCTGTTGCAAAACTATAGGCCATGGCTACCTTACACAGAAGTAATTATGCTGCCATAGGTGTCTGTGTACTTTAAACGTACCGGCTTAAGCAGACGTGGTTTAGGCTGCATTGTACTCGGATGGGTTTTGTCCACGACTTTGAAGAGTAACGTATTCGTGTACCGTAACTTTGCTAAGGCAGCTGGTGTTGTATAAAGCTACAGTCTGCACAGCTTAGGATTTACCACTAAACAAACAGTCTTCATTTGGAAAACATCTTAAACTGTTCGGAGCTCTGCAGTTCAAAGCGTTACAGTTTTGAGGGACTATCTAGTTTATATAGGAATAGTAGGACCTTGAAGTATGTATTTGAAAGTTTTTCTTTAGTGTGGATTGCATTTATTTGTTTTGGCAAGTCATTGGTTCAAAAGTGGCACTTCCCTACCTTGGTAAAATAGGAAAGGATGAGCAAAAATGTTTCCCATAAAAGCAATTATTTAACTTGGGTAATTTTTTTATTTTGAACACCGAGTGCAGTTTAGCCATCGAGGAAGTTTGTCTTGCAAAACTTTGTTCCAAATCTTGCAGGAGAGTCAAACCAAACATAGTATTGGCTTGTAACCTGTTGTCGTAGCATACAGCTTGCAGGGTTTTTAAATGAGAATCTGAACCTTACTTCAATAGGATTACCCCTTTCCCTCCGTACTTTTTCTTTGCACTGTTTGTATTACAAATTTAATTGCCACAAATTGTTTTTCATTATTCAAGTGATTTAAGTTTGCGTTGTTGATACATGTAATAGTTGCTTCAAGGTTATGCAGAGTAATTAGAAAGTAGTGACTTTAATATTTGAAAGGGAAGAGGGTATTTATTATGCATACTGTGAACTGCATTGACATCCTGAGTTTTGGGTGCACCATGTGGAGTTTTCTTTACAGCATTGTAATGAAGATTGCTTTGAATTTTTTACACCATAGCACACTTACCATATTAAAAACAAATTAGTTTAGCACAGTGGACAAAAGTATAGTGATTTTGTAATCAGTTCTTAACTTACACATCTGAAATATGTAACTTTAGTGAGTACACGGTAAGTAACGGGTAGCCTGGGCCCTGTGTTCTACTCTGACGTTTTAGCAAAGTTGTCAGCTTCTTGTTGCTGTGTTTTGTGCTGAACTTTGTACCTTGTTTCTTTTGTTTATGAATCAACACATTTTATGTAATGTTGTAAAGTACTGGCCATAACCCTCCATTGTTATGCATTCAAGTTTATCTATGGGTTTACAGTGAGTGGCTGGTCTGTATAAAAATCGTTATACAAAGATGACTGAATGCTTATACCAGTTGCACTTAAATGAACATGCCCATTCTCATTAGCTGATGCAGTAATATATTCAGTTTATCTATGCATTGCTGGGCTCTTAATGTAGACAGAGACTTGTCTAAGGTTTGGGTTGTCAGCAAGATGAATGGACACTTTAGTTATTTAATAAAGACTTTTGACCAAAATTCAGAAAATGATATGAGAGAAAAATGGATTCCGGCTAGTCTAATAGATTTTTAGATGCTGATCTTATTTAGCCTGTTGGCTAGCTAGCTGGTATCGTTTACTTTAATTCCTTGTTAAAATGAGGCAATAATTTGCAAGATTTTGTAAATATGTAAATTCTTCATATCTTTTTAGATATCTATTTCAATATTTTCTGACTACTTCTGTGTATAGTAACATTTTTGTGCATGCTTGATGTGACATTCATAAATTTGTACCACTATGACTTTATCCATGTAAAATAGCTATTTATTGAACTTTTCTTTTAAAAGCTGGACTTACTTATTTTTCTCTCAGTTTAAACATATAAATGGAGAACTTGTTACTGTTTATTAAAAGAATTGCGTTTTGAAAGTTGGCATGAAGATAACGGAATTGCAACCATATGAAAAAATTACATTGCCTTGGTTCTTAGATGGTGAAGCACAATTCTTATAACAAACTGTGATGAATTCTTTGTCCTTTGCCACAGTTTTTCTTCATACAAACAAACCAAAAAATCAATAATGGGCAATTGCAGCGTTGGTAAATGTATCCTTTCTGTGTACAGGGAATCTGAAGAGGGTAGCTGATTCATTTAGAAGTGTAACTGGTGCTGTGATTATAGCAATACTTTTACTTTAGTTAATCGTACATCATCTTCTCATGCTAGGTTTTTAAACATTCAGTTTTCCTCTTGTCATGGTCAAACTGCTGAATTCACTTGAAAGATGTACAATACCGTCTGAAGAGTACTAAATTGTGTACTATTAGGTCAATGATTTGTGCAATTGTTTCCTGTTTTTAATTTTTAAAACTGAGGGTCAAAAATACAGGAAGACTTCAGATCAAGTAGAGCATAGTGATACTACTTAATTTAACCAAAGTCTCTAGTGAACATTTCAACTTTGAATGTAAACTAATGGATAAACTGACCAACAGGGATACTATTTGCCCAGCATTACAAGCACATTGTCTACAGACAGGGAAACTAAACACAGTAATTTATAAAATAATGACAAGGTTACTATTTTTTTTATTCCTATTTTTCATTGAAAGGAGGAGGAAGATACGATCAATTGTAAAATACAGTAGGAATGGTTATAGTCATCCTAATAAAACAGAGATTCAGTTATTCTCAGTTCAAAGTATGTACCCTGTTCATAACAACAAATCTAGTGACAATCGGAACATGTTTTATTTTCAGATGTTCAAGAGGAAGTCGCTGTTGTTGCATTGGTTTTAATATTTGTACATAAACACTGATTTTTTTGAGCATTATTTTGTATTTGTTGTACTTTAATACCTGGTGTACAGTTCCAGAAATAAATGTCTGGAAACCTTTCTTTAATTGTAAAGCTTGTCATTTGCGCTGTGTTTGCTACTTCATTTTCAGAAATACTTAGCAGTAACTCTGCACACAGTTTAAGAACACCACTGAAGTGCACACTACCACACTACCTAGTGTTACACAGAGAAGTGTGAAAAATGGAGCATTCAGCAATGCAGGTACAATAGTAAGTAATGATTTCCCTCAAACATTAAAACATTATGGCTTAAGTATAGCAAAATCTTAGGTGGGACTTAAATGTAGCTTCACAGTAACGCACTGCAGCAGTATAACCCAGTATCCAAACTACGTGGTAGGCTGTGGGGAACACATTCCTGTTCTCTGGTGTAAGAAAACTTGCCCAAATCCTTAAATCCATGTCAAGCTAGATTACAGGTGTGAACACAAAAATCTCACTCGGTTTAGGCCTTAATGCTGAAGTATTTTAAATGCTTTTTGTCTTGGTTTTCCTTTCCCTCAAGAAAATGAATGCTAATCTTGGAACCTTAAAAGCCCTGTATTCTAAATTCTTGCCTACCAAGTCCGTCAAAGGCCAGAATTAGTGCTGTGCCTTCCTCAGCGCAGTGTGCTTGTTTTTGCAAGGGCTGGCACAATAAAGCTTCAGGTAAATAAATTATTTTTTCATTAGATAGGAATGAGAGCCAATATAATTCTGAACAGCAGAAATTGTAATTTGCCAGGTAATGTAATGAGCTTTGCTTCCCCTGATGAGATGCAAGGTGTGTCTTTGTAGTGGTGGTTAATGCAAGATGCAAAGCAAAATACCTGTCCTAAACGCCTTGGTGACAAGCTGCAGCTCCCTTTTTCTAGTTGTTTAGCATAAGGATCGATGCTGTTAGAACAAATCATAATGACCAACCCCATCTAGTCCTTTCTTGTTTCGATGCAACTAATTGTTAGCCATGCAATGCGTCAGTCTTCAAAACTGTTTTAATACGTGTATGTGTATATAATGTAAACCCCCCCCCCCATTTACTTTAACTACTTAGATTTCCATTAATCTCAGGACACATCCACCTCTGCTATTAAAAAGATAAGCAGCCCCTGAAGTCCTTATGGTGCTTGGCCGTTTGGTGCCTAAGTCGTTGTTTTGTCAACAAAATGCAGGGCAGCAAAAACTAGGAGCATAAACCCTATTTTGCTAACACACTTTTTACTAGTTCTTGGATTTCCCTTGCCTCTTTGTAGCGAAGAGTAACCTAGAGCTCCCAGCAAATCTTGGCCCTGTGATACAGGAGGAAGCCGGGATGTCTCCTGCTACCTGTGTGCTATGCTGAAGCGGTGGGGTGGCCTCCTGCCCACCACTTAGCCCCATTTTCTCCCTGGCCTCAGCACTGGCACGTGGCTGCCTGCTCAGATTTGACGCAATTTGTTAGCAGCAGAAAAACATCCCTCCCTTTTGCTGCCGTTACTGACTTGGTTTTCTGTGTCACCAGGAAAGCTCCAGAACAAGCACTGGGAAGGTGCAGGCAGCCAGTGAGCAGAGCAGGCCGGCAGGTAACGAGCAGCTGTCAGGTAAGCACACCGTCACCTCCACAGGCAGAAGTGTCTTAAAGCACGGCTTCCTAAGATCCCTGAGTTGAATTAGCAACTCGCAGCCACCACTTAGAGGCTTCCTGCTGGCTGGCTCGCTTTGGCCCTTCTATGAGCTGTGTCAGCTCACTGCAATAGCAGAAAAGAAAACAAGTGACAAAGCCAGGGGTCCGTGGTGGTGGTGTTACCGTGTTTAGCAAGTCGGGAAGGATGTGCAGGAGCATTTACACACACTCGCACCTTTCCCCCTTCCCTCCTACCGGAGTACCATGGGAATAGCCTGCGGAACTGTAGCCCCCACACCAAGTCCCACATAGATACATGTAAACTTGCACAGAAACACACCTCTCTGTGTGTATGAATATATTCACACACACACTATATGAATATATATATATATATATACACACACATATCCTTCAGTAGTTTAACATACTGTATTTTTTTCAGTGCCTGACAAACTTACTCTCAGTCCTTCCAGATTGGAAGTGCCACAGCAGAGAGATGTGGTTTGCCTTGATCACACCATGGCCACAAGCAGTGGTGACAACTAAAACAGCCTCAAGAACAAAGCCCTGAGGGGAGGGTGACCTCTGAGCTGCCACCAATTGCCCCCCGGCCCAGCCCTTCAGGGTGGACACCCCACGTGGACAGGCATTTCAAACACAAGTGTACTAACCCGGAAAGCTGACCCAGGCTATTTCATGTCCACCTGCTCTGGATCATACTGGTCATACTTCAGAAACCTGATTACTGAGTACTTCAGCAGCTTGATGAAGAATTGCCTTTTTAAAGCGAGTTTTTTATTTTTGTGCTGACCCCTTGCAGCTCCTTCCCCCAGCAGACACGTCCCTCTCCTGCTGTAGGCCATCTCTCTATTCTTTCTGGGAGTCTGCAGCGCCCCTGCAAAGTTTGTTAGCTCATAACTTGGACTTTCAAGCACCTCTGTTCTCCTGTCATGCCGAATCAACAGGGATTCCAGCTAACAACTTGACCTCCTGGAGAATTACAGTTGACTGTTACCACCAGCTTCGCCTTTTGAGCTAAGAAGTCAAGAGTCAGAGCCTTGCAGACCAATTTGCTTCAGAAGAGTGTGGTGAGACCACCTGGGTGTCTCTTGATGCAATCATCTCATTTATTCCAAAATCTGATTTCACCATCTGAACAGCAGCAGCTGGCTCTCAGTGTTTCCAAATCAATACTGTAGTGTCAAGGGCTCCATCCTCCTGCTCCTGCTGAGGAGGCACATGGATTTGGCCCAACCTGAACTTCTCAGCCTTTCAACCCCCCATAAACTGGCAAGATGCACTCCTGTGCTTGCAATCAGGGGACTCCCCCCGGCAGTGCCAGGACTACCAGGATGTTTACAACAGGGGTAAGGACTTCAGACACATCCAGGAAAAACAAGCCTAAAACTCTCTGTGCAGTGCTGAACCTTTCCATTCTCCCCACACGCTCCTGGTTTTGCTCTTATGTTGATGTGGCGGGTTGACCTTGGTGGACACAAGGTGCCCACTCAGCTGCTCCATCACTCCCCTCCTCAGCAGGATGGGGGACAGGAGAAAAAAAAATGGGGAAAAAACCCCTTTGTGACTCAAGATAAAGGCAGGTTTATAAGCAAAAGGAAGGGCTGTGCAGAAGCAAAGCAAACCAAAAATATTTATTCTCCAGTTCCCACCAGCAGGCGATGTCCAACTGCTGCCTAGGAAGCACAGCCTCAGCATGTGTAGGAGCAGATCCAGAAGAGAAATGCCTTTCAGTGACGATGCCCCCACCCCTCCTCCTTTCTCTTAGGTTTTGTTGCTGACCATGATGCTGTGCAGTATGGAGTACCTCTGGTCACCTTGGGACAGCTGCTCTATGCCCTCTACCAACCTCTTTCCACCCCCAGCCTGCTGGCCTTTGGGGCCAAGGGGGCTGGAGAGACAGCCTCGATGCCGCGCAGGCACCGCTCAGCAGCGGCCAAGGCACAGGTGTGTTACCAGCACCCTTCTGGCTGCCAGTGCAACGCACAGCACAGGGAGGGCTGTGGCAGGGAAAGCTCCATCCCAGCCAGGCTGGAGGCAGTTGGGCCTCACTGAGGATCACACCCAGTGCATCACAGCTGGCCATAGATTTAAACATAAAAATTCTTTCCTGGATAAGTACGGTATTTTAATGCGGGCAGACTATGGGTCCACATCTGAGAGAGGGAATTTGGGGATCTGGCCTGTCAGTATTGAAACTTCCTCAAATTTTAGTTTGATTTTCCTTTTCTTCTTCTACCACTAAGTGTAGAGGCATAGAGAGATAGAGGTAGCCAAATAAGTCCCTATTTTTAGGGAATTTCAATGAAAATCACCCAGGCAAATAATCTTTCAACAGAAAGATTGTACTTACTGTAATGAATAATTTATTAACAAACTGTAAATAGATTGCATTGAGAATTTTACTGGGTTATTGTCAGATTGCATATTACATCTGAAATAACATCCGAACACATCCTCTTCACAGCTACTGGTGTCAGTTTGGTGGTAATGAACGCGCACACAGGGAATCAGGATGACTTTCACCTTTAATGAAGAGATGGGAATCTAAAGATGACAAGGAAAAGTCTGATATACCTGAAGCCCTTTCACAGGCTGAAGCACTTTCCTGGACCATTCTTTCTGCTCCTCCATTTTCCTTTCTCCTGCTCACTCCCCATGTTTGCTGCTTCTTGCTCAGAAGTACCACCCGACTGTACCTCCTCCTTCTCCTGCCACTTTTTGGCTTTCTACAGCCACCAGCAGGCAGGAATCAATTGTGGCTGCCAGCTGCAGACCGCATCTTGCTTTCCCTCAGGTATGAGCAGTCCCTGAAACAGGCTGTCAGGTTTCAGTATTTCAGCCAGAAGCCAGTCCCACAGACCCTGTGAGTGACAGGCAGCCAGCACTTCAGTACTGCAACTCTCCACCACCGTGCAACACTCGCGTTCAGGAGGCAGCAAGTGCAGGAAAGCAAACCTTTCTCGATCGATGAGTTGTACACTTAAATTCCATAGTCATCAGGCAATTTCAAGTCTGGCCATTTAAAAAGTATTAACAAGCGTGTAACGAGATGGCTGAAGTAATCCATGCCCTCCCATGACAGCATTTCAGCCGGGAGAACACAAACAGCACCTGCCCCCTCTGGCGTGCTGAGACTGGTATTCCCCACCTACCCCTAAACCCTGACTGCTGAGCTAATCAGCGCTGCAGGCGCCCTGACAACCAGCCTCCTCTGCCGAGGTCAAGAGATGCCCAATTACCTCCTCCCAGAGAGGGAGGGAGAATGCCCAGCTCAGGAGAGAAGGGATCCTTGGTGCTGGAGGAGGAGAGTCCTGGTCCTGTTCGGTAGACTGGAGATTGCTGCCTGCTCCCATCTGCTACCACCCAGTGAAGACATGAGGGCTGTCACTAGAAGTTGTCTCCAGCGTCTTCACAGGGCTCGTGCAAGGCATGCTCGGCCAGGTGCCACTACCGCACAGCTCTGCTATTTAAATCTTCCCGAAAAAGCCAGCCTTCTCTGGCTGAGAAGGACTTCTGGATGAATATGAAAGACAAGGTTCAGGCTTGGAAAGAGACCAAGTAACACAGACACCAAAAAGCTTTGTATTCTGAAACAGAGACTAGATGCTTCTGCAGCTAAGCAGGGCATCCTGGCTGCCCCAACCACTACCAGATTTGTTAGAGCACATCGTTTCCCAGCTCCTTCTTTCTCACGAGCTTATACCAACCACAGAATCACTGTGAGGCTTGCTTGGACTTTTGCAGTAAATACTGGGATGATTTTTTTCCCCCAAGTTGTTTAGTCAGACAGAAAGACTGACAAGCTACCTCGTTTAGTTTCTGAAGGCAGCTTGCAGACAGCAGCAAGAATTAACATGGGAATGGCTGGCTCTGCTTATGCCAATAACTCATTAAAAAAAATACACAACACACTTGGTTGGCATTATTTCCTCCAGCTACACTGCAACATGAAGTTCTCTCTCTTTGAGAATAAAGGCTATGAAAGTTGCAACACGCCATTTAACTTTCACTGAACCACTGAACCTAGGATCGGACAGAGCTTCAAGACACATACCATCTTTCCTCCTGCCCCAGACAGGCATGGCTGGAGCCAGCCGCTCAAGTTGGCCTCATGATGATAGTGCACCGTGCAGGCACATCTGAAGTGCGTATCAGCACTGTTGCAATGTGGCTTCATAAGAGATCTGTACAACTGGCTACAATGAAATACTTTCTAAAAAGAAGCAGGTACCGAAGGGACCAACACGAACAAAACCAGAACAAGAGACAGTAATTACCAAGGACTATGAGGATTACCTGAGGAATAGTTCATGAGAGGAAAGTAATTTTTGCTAATTGGGTCCATGATAAGCACGAGAAGTGAAATGGCAGAATATTAAAACTGAGCCCCAGTTAGACAACTGTGCAAACTAGAAGATGAAATGACACATCCAGAACTCAGGTTTTTATTTTATCATCTATTGCATGGACAGCTGAGTACCAACAAGCAATAATAGCAACAACAGTAGACAGCTGAGAACTTGATGGTGTAAATGGTTAAACCTTCACCTCTGCATCAAATGTAGAGTATTTTCAGGCAAAGACAAGCCTGCAGTTTGCTTTCTAAATGGTAAAGGTACAGCCCTCCGATATGTAAAATTGCTCATGATGCTTGAAGTACGCACACAGTAAGTATCTTAATGACACAGATTTCTCCAGCCTTGAGTCCATTAATTCAGCTGACAACAGTATAGTAATTAGAAAAAAGTTCTTCTCCCTGCTTGACGTCCCTGAGAGTGACAAGCACTACGCACCTCGGGTGGCTGTAAAAAAACAGAAAAGCAAAACGTGGAAGTGAACAATTGTATTTCCCTTTGATTTTTTTTTTTTTTTAATTCTTCACGGCACAGAGCTGAAACAATGGCTCTGTCTATATTACTTTTGGGAGTAATATGCATAATGTAGGACAGGGAGCCTGGAAAAACCACACTGAAATACAGATAGCAAATATAAGCAAAAGCAATTACTAAAAAAAGCACAGCCTGGGTGGGTATGAAAATAATGTTTCCACTCACCCAATTATTCAGAAATGAAAAGAATTAATCAAGACAAAGACACTCCTACAGACAGGAGGAGAAAGTGCAGCAAAGTTCAAGGAGCAGAAATCGTTCCTCCAGACACACTGACCCACAGGTGCCAGCTGCCTAAACCTCCTCTCAGCCAAACCACATCCAGAAAAAGACAGCTCTGAACTGCATCAGAGACCTGCTGCCACCCGTGCTGACGGGTAAGTTCTCCATAACCCCCAGGATGAAATCAGTGGCTGGCAAACGGTGTTCTTACAGAGAGATTTAGGAACCCACCCCCCTAAACTTCCTTTAAGTAAATGACCATGTCCTAAAGCTGAAGTATCTATTCTAGGACGGAAAGCACATTCTTCTGATCCTGATGAACATGAAAGAGAAGAACAGCATCAACCCAAGCAGTCCACACAGTTAAGAAATTTAGTGTGAGGCCATTTTGAAACAAATCAAACAACAACAACAACAACAAAAAGGTAAACAAGTACTAAAACCTCTTTTTTTTTTACAAGACAGAAGAATATTTAGAAACAAGATTACCTATGCTGACAGCACTGTGAATATCAGTATCAAAACAAGCAGCTAGAAGCAGACAGGATCTTTCGTCTAGTGGCTGTGCACTGGGTGAACTGGTGACTGGAAGACCATATTTTCTTGGAAAGATTCCAAGGAAGAGAACAAAATTCCCCCTTCCTGAAACGGTCCGAGAGCTTAGCTCTCCTCACTGCTCTTTCATGCTTCAAGTACAGCATCCAGGATTCCCAAAAGTTCAGTCTTCCTACTTCATCTATTAGCACTTATTTATTTACCCGTAGATTACAAGTGCATCTTTAACCTTGCCTCAACAAAGTCTAAGTGTAATCAGAAAAGGCGTTCTTCCAAATTTCAGAGTTTTAAAATAGCTCTATATGACACCAAAGTCTAGATTATCTGCTCTAAAATCCTTACACATCCCCTAGATGTAGAAGATTATTTGGTTCCTGAAGGTAACCAGTGGACCAGAAGCACAATTTCTTTGGTGTGTTAAATTCAGGAACAACATCATAGCTCACTTTCTCACAGTTTCCACGTTATTTTTGACTATATCCCAGTACAGGACACTCACTCACAGACATATTGTCTGTCCTTGTTGTCCATATTGCTCCTTGTACATACTCATCTAATCATCACTGTAATACAACCAAAATATAACTAGTGCTCTGTGGAATTCAGAGGAATCACACTATAGTGTAACCACTGCTTGTAAAAAGCATGTCTTCAGAGCTGTGCTGATCTCATTTGCGAAGATGTGGAAAAACGAACAAAAATAAATAGTCTTTAAATCACTTAAAATTAGTCTACTCAAAGAGCCAACAAAGGTGCACATTATTGTGTAACTCATCTTCATATGGAATAGTATCATTCTTCAAGCATGTTTGTCTTTTTTACACATACAGTATGCTTTGTATCATACAAATCTATGAGCTCTTTGGTTGACTGCTAACCTCTCTATGTCGTGGCTGTAGACGATGTTTGGAAGGTACTGTTTCAGTTCTACTGGAAAATATTCCGGCACATCAAACTCCTGATAACACACATTGGCTGCTTTTTCTAGAAATAAGAAAAAAAAAAAAAGTCTCTGTGATACTGACAAAATCTTAGATAGGGTTTAGAGGTGTGTAAAAATACCAAATGTACTGCTGCAAAAGCACCAGGTGCTTCAACAAGCCTGAAAACCACGCCTCTGTTGGGAGCTACTACACTCCTCTAAAGTCCTATTTGAATTTACATGAGATACACAACCAACTACACGAGCTTTACTTCATCCTTATTGTATTAAACAGGACGACCTAATTATCAGCAAGTCTATGAAAGGGCACAACTTGCATAGTGCTAGGAGTAGCTTATAACATTGCTAAATGTTCTTAATACACAACATTTTACAGTTAAAAAAAAAACTTGAAAAAATTTTCATGGTGGCAAAATGTGTAATAAATACAGCCAGCGAGAAAATCACCATCTGTCCTAGGAAGAAGGGAATTTTCTTTACATGGACACTGGACCTGGAAGAAACAGTTTCATGGGACAGCCCTCCGTCTCCACGCCAGTCAACATCTGGTTCGCTACTCCAGAAACCTTTCTGGATGCTACTTGGAGGCAGGGTATCTAGTATGAGGCAGGTTATCGATATAATGCAGGCTCTGAAATAGCCACTTAAAAGCTAGGTATGGCAGCAATTCACCCTTCTGTACCTCACAGCCATTCCCATGAGGCGTTTATTCCGCCAAACCTTAAGACCAACACAAACTGTGCGAGACAGAATAGATAAATAGTTCCCTTCTTCACGTCCAACAGCTAGATCACACCAGCAGTTTCCCAGACTCTGCACATAAACTTGAGGCAGTCTTAACAAAGTATTACAGTTCAAACTGAGCAGTGATAGAATTTTACTGTACACGTTACTGCGCATGTGCTCTTCTCATGAAGACTGCTGGAACCATACTGGGGAACTTGATCTGCAACTCTGTGTACTGCCTCAGCCCTGTGGTCCTTTGCCAGACGTCCTTTCCCACCATCTCACATTTTGGGATGTGTGCCTTTCATTCGACATACCAGGAGGGAGACTGGGCGAAGTCAGTGAGAGAAGCACAAGGATATTTGAAGCGTTTCTGTGCTGAAGGATTCTAACAGCCAGCTGTCACAAATGGCCTGAGAAGCTCTTTATCCTGTAAGTGCTTATCTTGTTTTAAACAGCACTATTGTCCCCCAAGACCAGTATCTGATTCTGCGTCACCTCCAAATTTGTATCCATGCTCCATCAAGCCTGAAAACCACGCCTCTGTTGCGAGCTACTACACTCCTCTGAAGTCCTATTTTGAATTCACATATTGACAAACTCAAGCCTTGAAAATTTACTTGGCAACTTACCATATGAGCAGTTGTTCACATACTGTCCCACCGCCAGTGGGTTTTGCAAGGCAGCTGTGAGCCAGCTCTCATCGCTCATTTGAAATGGGCCGAGTTGATCTCTCCTGCTGCAAGACCTGGAATGACCAACACCATTAACGTGAATCACTGCTCCTTCACTTAACAGGTCCTAACACTTAACTTCCTCCTGCAGAAATGGCCACAGTCGCCAGGGAAGGTTACAGCTGCCCGACCCACGTGGGAGACAGGACAAGACTGGGGTCGGGGTATGTGTGCACAGACCAACACCTTGATGATACTTTAAAAGGTGCATTTAACCTCCCACCAGCATGTGGTGCCTTTCAGACTGGTGGAAGAACCGCACAAAACCATGTGCAATTCCAGAAATCCAACATCAAACAATACCATTACAGCAGGTTCAACACATCTCGTCCACCTCTAAAGATGTGAAGGCTCATTACAATATCAACTTCAAACTCATTCCCAGAATTAAAATCTGGTATTAATCTATTATTATAATATTCAAATTAGGTATTATTTTAGATCATTTAGCTCGTTTTTATTTTCTTTTCATGTCATATTTAAACAGAAATTACTACAAATTTTATTTTTAAGGTCACATAAACCAGTCCAGGCTAGCTGCACCAGGGGGGGTTCAGACTGGACGTTAGGAAAAGGCTCTTCACTGAGAGGGTGGTCGGTCACTGAACAGGCTCCCCAGGGAAGCGGTCAGGGCACCAAGCCTGTCAGAGTTCAAGGACAACGCGCTCTATCATGTCGTTTAGCTTTAAGTAGTCCTGCAAGAGGCAAGGAGTTGGACTCAATGATCCTTACAGGTCCCTTCCAACATATGATAACAGGAGTAACAACAACAACAATCATTACTTTAAAAAATAAACCAGGGTTACTTCTCCCTTCTTAAGTGCTACTCATCTGTAGACCAGAGTGAGTTACCAGATTCACCCTTTTGGCATTAGCAAGTCCACACAGAGGTTTGGGGTTTTTTTAATCCACTAAGCAGACATCATTACAGCTCAGAAGCATTTAAACAATTTTATGCTACAACCTGCTCCTATCAAAACTATTTCCTTTACAGGAAAGTCTCTGTACATCAAAAGACATCTCAATGGCATTACAGATGAAGACACAAGTCTTCATCTTGTGTAAGCAGCTCTTACCCTTGTGGTGTTTGTGTTATGAGATACACATACGTGGATGATATTCAAATATAAGTCCATTTAAGGTAAGACAAGAGAGAAGTGAGACTATTAGTAACCACTGTTTTAAATCAGTTGAGTAACAATCCCCCGTTTCGACTGCTTACCTGTACACTGATCTTGATAGCCCTTTGTCATTCCCATCAATAAGGACACCATCTATGCACCTAAAAATAAAGGGATTGCCAAGGGACTGGAAAAAGATGGGCTCATGCTTTCTGTATACTGTACCTGTTGCAAGACAGAGATTATTTCAGAAGGAAAGTTAACTGTCAGAGTGGACTTACAATACCACTTAGTCCTCTCCACACAGGAACCCAAACAAGACAGAGGGGGTAGGAGAGAACTCCTCTCTCAGTTAATGACATTAACATTCGTAAATCTACAAGTTTAGACACATCTTTGTGGGATGCAAAAAAAGCCACATAAGCTGAGATATTCCAGAGAGAGAAGCCATTGAAAGGAATCATTAAAGAGAAGTCCTGTGTCCAGTATCCATGTGAGAGGTAGATAAAGCACCACAGCCAACTGGACAGCTTCAGAGAGGAAAAGGCTAAGCGACATTTGTTCAGGAAAGCGCACTAAGCTGTTTTGTTACTGCTGTGTTGGGACTCTGAAAAGCACACACACAGACTGCAGACCTTGAAACACCCCCCTCCACTGTCCTGATCAGAGATTTTGTTTGGTACAGGAGGGGGAACATAACAAACCAAGAACAGATAAATCATTTCAGCAGACTGCTTCCCAAATCTGTGGACAAGATTTAATCTGCCCTGGGTTCCACACACAGAAAAGTGACAGCAGACTGGCTTGCAATTTTTCATGATATTGTAGTTGTGCATCCCTCACATCCTACTACACCTTCAGCAACCCTCTGCAGAAATCCTTCACTGCAATCCGAGTTGCTAGGCAAAGGCCTGCCGGCAGGCTGCTCTCACTACCAACCAACCAGCAGGAGAGTGCTGACCTGCTCTCTCCACAGAGTCCCTTCCCCAGCCAGCAGTTCTGCAGTTACCTTCATACCCCTGAAAAACAAAGGCATTTCAACAGCTCATCCTCTTGCGAGGTGCTACAGGAGACTCTCAGAGAGCCTACGCTCGCATCTAGTATGTGCCTGAAATCTAAAGTGTGCTGTAAGGTCGTGGACTTATTCCCTGTGATTGTCATTTGATGGTTTGGTCAGTTTAACAGTCAACAGTCACGGCCAAACACCCCTGCTGTGTCATGGCAAAACATGCTCTGCTGCCCAATGCTTGGACTGGTCCCGATCCCGCCATGCTGGCACAAGCTAGACACCACATGCAGTGAATGATTCTGTTGACAGACGAAGCAGAAACACAACCAAAGCGTTTCAGCAGAGCTGTCCTAGCTTGGCCATGCTGACAGAACTGCAAATCTTTTTAAGAAATGTAAGAAATACAGTTCCAAGAAATGAGGAGGAGGAACAGAGAAGTGCTGATTTCCCAAATATGCTTTATGGAAGAGAGTTCTGCTAAATAAAGGTTTTATTTTCATCCTCCAGTTTGTATTTTTGTGCTGTGAAAAAGTTCGTTAAGTCTTGTCTGCTGATCTGTGCAGAGACCTCAAAACCTCATTTTTCAGATCTTTATCCAAAACAGAAACCCCAAACAATTAAACCGTATTGTTCAGCTACTGGAAATTGCTTCCTCACAGTTGTGTTTAAAGTATCTGTAACAACTTTTCTAGAAGCTGAAAAATCAGACTTTGAGTACCAGAAGGTTTTTTAATAAATGAAATTATCCCCGCAATGTTACTTTATTTCTAAAAGAAATCTAGTCAGTTTACACAGAAATAGTCTCATTCACTGTAACTTGTGATTTTGTTAAGGAATGATAGAACTAAAACCTGTAAAATAAAAAATTAGTGTAGAACTTTAGTATTCTATAATTAGAAGGTTAGAAACGACATCTAATTTAATCAAAAAAAAGAATGTCCCATTACCAGGATACATGGATACAACTGTCCCTTTCGGTACAAAACCTTTGGTAACAAAGACTCCAGTTCCAGCAGACACCAGGGAACTTCGGTCTCGACTAACAGTGAATCCTAGTGTATTAAACAGAACTTCCTCTGGACTACACACATGTTGACTCCGATGGTTACACGAATTTACTTTTGATCGTTCCTCCTCAATAGTCAGTAATTCCAGATATTTACATTTGATTTCTGGAAGTAAGGCCAAAATATGTGCTTGTCTACTGAAGTCATTTATGAACAGAGCTTTAAATATTTTCAGTAGTGTTTCAAAGACATCTTCATCAGGGATAATTTTGTCTTGGGAGCTTTCAGGAACATATCGGAGGGTTCTGTAAAGAAAAAAAAAACAACATTTTATAGCAGCAACTTGTATGCATTGTTGTTTCTAACAAACCCAAACTCTAAAGAATATTCCTTCATACCTGTCCTACAATAAAACCATCATCTGTGCATCTGCAGCAGGACAGGCAGGTTAAAATGCCACTGAGCTCTTACTGACAAGCATATCAAAAATCAAACAGATATGATTACCAAAGTTTATTTAAAAATCATATATAGCTCATTACACTTTAAACGAGGCAAGGATGCTGACTAGGGAGACTTTAATTTATGCTACTTATAACAATGTCGCACTCATTCAAGAACGAGTTTTACCTTTAAAAAGAGAGCAAACAGAACCTACCGGGAAAAAAAAAAAACAAAAACAAACAACCCGTATTTGGTTTTACTGTTAAATACCATCTTAAAGCACCCAAGAGTTCTGCGTCAGCGAAGCGTCACACAAAGCTCCACCGCTTTATCAGAGCAGCCACCTCCCACCGAAAAAAACCGAGTCAGCTCCTGCGGCGGCCCCGGTCACTCCCGAGAAGGGAGGAGGAAGCTCTCGGCCACGACAGCTCCGCGCCCCCAAGGGGGAGCTCTCACCCAGCTCCAGCAGCCAACTCCAGGCCGAAAAACCCTGCGGAAAACCTACTAGGCGGCACCGACT